CTCCAGTATTCCTGCCTGGAGAATCCCATGGACAGGGAGCCTGGCAGGCTGCAGTCCATAGGGTCGCACAGAGTCAGACATGATTAGCAACGGAGCATGCACGCCCGCAGTGGGAGTCACAGGGGCTCTCCTCAAGTAGCTGGATCTTAGGTTTTTAAGGGCCATAGAGAGGCAGCTGTACAGATCCCATGTACTAAGGGCCTCTGTTCATTGAGTACAGCCTTCGTGCTCTCCTCTTCACAAATAAACCTTCTCCCTCCACATCCCACCTCATTCTATTTTCCTCCTCCAAGAGCCTTGCCAGAAAGGGCAAACCTCACAGTTTCTAAAACTTGGAGCCACAGTGGAGGAATTTCCAGATATCCTGGTGATGATATTCCAACTTAAAACAAACCAGAGCGCATTTGGTTTAAGTTAAACAAACATGCAGATTTGTAGCACCTTGGGTGTCAAAGATCAGTGAAAATCTGAGTGAAATGAAAGAAGAAAATAATTCTAAGAATTAATAGCTTGGAATAGTAGATTGATCTAACTAAACCAAAGAGATAATGTTAGATAAACACTATCAAGGGTTAAAGCCCATTACTTGTATGCTTATAGTACAGGAAAAGAACATAGGTTTTATAGTCAGATGGACTTGGGTTCTTGTCCTGACTCTGTCAGTTCCTAGTAGGTGATTTAAAAAATTTTTTTTTCTGAAAATTTTTTATTTTATTTTATTGACCACATGGAATGGGAGATCTTAGTTCCCTGATCAGGGAATCAAACCCATCCCCCCCACCCCTGCAGTGGAAGTGCAAAGTCCTAACCACTGTACTGACCCCATAGTTAGGTGATTTTTAAACAAGTAATTTAATCTCTTTGGAGCTCTTCTTCCTTATCAATAATATAAAAATAAAAATCCTCTAGCCACACTGTTCTGAAGACTGACTGCACGCACAGCATCCAGCAAGGCGTCTGGTATAGAGCAGGAAATCAGCAAATATTATTGCCCTTCCATTCTCCATCCCCTGACTGCGCCCGCCATAGATGAGCACAGAAAAGTAATGCCAGAAACCTTTTCCCTCTCCTTCTACTTTACCACACTGGAGATGAGTAAAAGTTCTAGGGAGTTAACAGGGGCACCTTCATGGGGAAAACCTTTGCAGTAGTCAGGATAGGCTAGGTTCTGCTGCAGTAATAACAACCCCCAATGCTCTGTGGTTAACACAGTGAAGATTGATGTCTCTTTCATGCTGTCTGTCCACTGTGGGTCAGCAGGTGGCTGTGCTTAATTTAGTCACACAGGGACTCAAAGATTCTACCATTTTTCGATGCCACCATCTGAACACAAGGCTGACATTTCATCATCAGAGGAAAAGAGAACAATAACATCAAAAATACAGTGGTGGCTCTTCATGGCTCCACAAGGAAGCGACGTATGACCCTTCCTCTCAGGTCTCAAAGGGGCAGGGAGGTACAATCTGCCCGAGTGCGTGCATTAAGGAGAGGAGAATCAGAGAGTTGAGGCCCCCACACCGGAAACAAAAAGATGAACTGAGCATGCTTCATACAACCAAGTCCGCAGAGGCTCCCAAGAACCCCACTGTCATTGCTGAAGACCTGACTACCCCATTCCTTTCCTGGGAGGAGGCAGCTTTGCATGGCAGGCCCCCCAGTCTTTGCCAAGATCTCATCTGAGCCCATTCTGTCCCCTGGTTCCTGCTTGTGGGCAGCACTCTGAAGTTGCCATTGTTAACTTGTCTAAATAATTCATACGCCTTTCTCAACTCACACCCGAGTTGCCAAACTTTTGGATGCTTCATGGCAACGTGATCACAATTGTCATTTTGTCACCTTCTTTTCAGCTCAGATCGAATCAAACTCCCCATAGAGCTGATGTTCACACAATTTTTGCTTCTTTCCTAGAAATGCTCAATCGATATCTCCCTTATTTGCTTTCCATCTGTGGTTGGCTGACTTCATTAATGGCCTGCATTTTTCACCCCTCCCTGTGTCCCGGCCCCTTGCACATGGCTTTACACAGCCTCCTGCTCAGGGAATGGGGTTTATTTCTCCAAGAATTCGAAGGCCATGTTGAGGGGCCATGTTCAAGGAGATTGCCCTGTTGGGGGATTTGGCAGCAGCAGAGTTTGCCAAGCTAGAATGAATCAGGAGGGAGCCTCCGCTGTGGTTCTGGGTAGTTCATCTCTTTGAAGCCAGACCCCAGCTGGCAGCCTGGACGTGGGGTGTAAGGCCACCATGAATCGGAAGTCAGCAGTAGCTAAGCAAAGAGTAGCCAGAAACAGGAGTCGGCGGAGGTTTGGGCTGAGGGTCCAGGGGAACAGCTAGAGACCAAACAGGAAATCAAAAAAGGGGAATTCCCTGGTGGCCCAGTGGTTAGGACTCTGTGCTTTCATTGTGGAGGGCCCAGGTTTAATCCCTGGTGGGGGAACCAAGATCTAAGACTCCACAAGCCCCACAGCTTTAAAAAAAAAAAAAAAAATAAAGCCCCAACGAGCATAAAAAAAAAAAAAAAAAGGAAATCGAAACAGGGAAAAGAGTGGAGAGCCCTGATGGCACCACCAGGCTCATTGGACATTGTTGAAGACAGCAAGACCAGTTTCAGAAACAGCCCACAGGTAAGAGGGGGAGCCTAAGTTCTTTCCAGGTTTGGTCAGAGCTGGATGAGAATCAAGTGCCTCTACCTGGCAGGCGTGGGAGAGGCAGGGCTGACAACGGCTACCCTGGTCACTCACTTTTCTCAAGAATGGACTATAGCAGCCTGCTAATCCGGGGTTCTCATTCCTGGCTGCAGATCAGATCACCTGGCACAGTTTAAAAAACACCAGTGCCCGGGACTTCCCTGGCAGTCCAGCAGTTAAGAATCTGTGATCCAAAGCAGAGGTGCAGGTTTGGTCCCTAGTCAGGGAGCTGAGATTTCACATGCCTTGGGCCAAAAAAACAAAACATAAAGTAGAAGCGTTATTATAACAAATTCAATAAAGACAAAAAAAAAATCACTAGTGCCTGGGCTTACCCTCCAAGGTCTGATTTTTTACTGGTCCTGATTGATAGGACCAGTTAATAACGTACAGCCAGGGTCAAGAACCACTTACCCAATCTTATCTGTCCCCCAACCCTCCCTTCCTAGGGCAGACCTCCACACTTGTCTTTCTAAACCACAGTTTAGTTAGGCACCCTACCTGCAATTCTTAAAGAAAAAAAAAAATTAATATTCGCACACACACATATACAAGGATGAGAAAAACTTTTTGAGAGTAAAATTTTAATCTTCTGATCATGCACTGAAGTTATTTAGATTTAGAACCTGTAAGGTAACCAAATACAGACATTTTCCCCTAGCCATATATTTGTATGCCCTCCAAAGTGATGGTCTGACTCTAAAAAGATAAGCAATGTGTTGTAAGCCTTCAGAGCACTTTATATTAAAGAGATTCCTTAGCAACTTAAAAATGACAAAATATTAACTTATCAATAACTATTGTATACATTTATTCTTATCAAACAGTGGAATTCTAGGGGTTTAAAATTATTTATTTATTTATTTTCAGCTGTGCTGGGTCCTCATTGCTGCTCACAGGCTTTCTCTAGTTGTGGTGTGCAGGGCTATTCGTCATTGTGTGTGCAGGCTTCTCATTGCAGTGGCTTCTCTTGTTGCCGAGCACAGGCTGTAGGGCGTGAGGGCTTCAATAGTTGCAACTCCCAGGCTCTGGAGCACTGGTTCAGTAGTTGTGGCGCACAGGCTTCATTTCTCCGCAGCATGTGGCATCTTCCTGGACCAGGAATCGAACCCATGTTCCCCTGCATGGGCAGGAAGATTTTTAACCATTCTTGGACTACCAGAGAAGTCCAATTCTAGGGTTTTTACTTAAGAATCTTACACGCTAAAAGAGAAAATAAAAGAGACTTCCACGATACACTGATGGTGGAGTTTCTTTGGGACCTGGGGTCAAGGCAGGGCCTCTTGGAGAAGGTGCCATTTGATCTCAGGCCCACGTGAAGAGAAGGTAGTAGTTATGGGACCATCTGGGGAAGAAGGCTTTCCAGGCAGAGGGAATCATCATCAAGAAAAGTCTGCAGAGGTTTCTACCTTGGTGATCAGTGAAGAAAGGCCACAGTGCAGCCTCTTCAGATGACAAACAGCAGCTTATCATCCCAAATATGGAGCGCCCCAACTAGCTGAAGGGCAGAAAACGAACTCCACAAAATAAATGAGGAATAGGAGCCAAATACAGTTTCAAAGCACCATGAACAAGCACAGCTGGTGTTACAGGCAGTGTGCTGGGGACGATATTATGCGCTTTTGCATAACATTTATCAAGAACAGAGAATGGCATGGCCCTGCTCGGTTTTCCCTAGGAGTGATACAAAATAATCTTTTATTAATCTTATTTTAAATTTGTTACCATTGTACATGATCTCAGAAGACCAAGTGGAGAACATTTCAAATAAATCAAAGGAATAAATGAATATGAAAGAAAAGACAATTATATGCTGCAATAAAAATTTCTGCCCATTCTGTTACACTGCAAAGCATTTTGTAAATGTAAATATTGTACATAAATGTTAAATAAATCTATTAATATGAACTTCCTCTGGGTTTTTAAAAATAAGAATCTTGGTAGGCAAAGAGTTAGCATTTCATATTGAAAAGTTCCCTCAGGCCCACATTTTCCAGCTTCTAACAGTTACCACAAGGAAGCCATTATCCCAGTAGAGACAATAAGAGTGATGCTCAAAAGCCTTGAGTTGGGGGCAGACAGACCCAGGCCTAAATTCCTACATTGCCATTTAATAATTGCGTGACCGCAAACAAGGTAAGGTATCTCTCCAAGCCCTTATACAGAAATGTGTAAAATGTAATGATTCTTCTTATTGAAAACTGTTATTGTTGGAACAAAAGGAGGTTCTGTTGAGAACAGGATGCAGTGGCCATGGCATCTTCAGGTTCACCATTCCCATCATCATCTCCTCAGAGGGCATGGGTGTGTGCAGGCAGCTCATACTCACACACTTAGAACAACACAAGACAGGCTCAGGATAGAAGAAACTGTGGCGTGGCTGCTCCCCTCCCTTTGGGAGACTTGTAATGGACAACAAGCCCGCTGTAGCTTTGTCCACCCATCCTCTCTGACAGTTAAGAATCCAGGACTGATGAGCTCAGTTTGTTGCCAACTGGTTGTCTGTGCATCTAGCCTAACCGGTTTGACTTCTCCTTCTTGATTAAGGAATTTGATGATAATCTTAAGAAGGGTTTCTGGAGAGAATCTTTCCTGCAACAAATTGTCACCTGGAAACTCATAAAGGATACCACCCATCCATACAAATAGAAATTCAACTCTGTGGCAATTAGTTACTTTGGAGGACTACAGAGATTAATGTTATTCACGATGGAGAAAGATATTCCACTTTAGGCATACTTCATATGCTGCCAGCAGGGGTATGAACATATTTTTTCCCTTTCCCATTCAAAACAAAGACAATGAGTGCATTAATTAGAAGCTGTAGGATTTATTCTAGGTAACAACTCAGAATATAAATTGAGAGAGCGAAAAGGAAAAGACTATAACCAGGAGTCATCCATCACTACCTCATCTGTTGCTGAGGTTACACTCCCAGGATTCCAGCTGTCTGTCCTGAGTTCACTCTGTTTCACAGCTTTGGACCCTCTGTAGAGTGACTGATCAAAATGACCATGCCCTTGTGTTTCACCAGAATAAACATGGTCCCCTCTGGACAACCAGTGGTCCTTGCAGACTCAAGAGTCTTTTAACCAAAGGGTGGACTGTTTCCTTATTGACATCATTAAACACTGGGTGTATCCGGATGACAAATTTTGTTCTCTGTAGGACAAAAAAGACACAGAAGGTGAGCTGCTCTTCCATGTGTGTGTGCTCAGTCTCTCAGCCTTGTCCGACTCTGTGACCCCATGGCCTGTAGCCTGCCAGGCTTCTCTGTCTATGGGATTCTCTAGGCAAGAATACTGGGGTGGATTGCCATTTCCTCCTCCAGGGGATCTTCCCGACCTAGGGAGTGAACTCATGTCTCCTGCGTCCCTATATTGCAGGCAGATTCTTATTACTAAATGACCTTATGAACACAAATCCTTAAAGGTCTAGCAGGGGTACGTGGTGGTGATTTAGTTGCTCTGTCGTGTTCAACTCTTGCAACCCCCATTGACTGTAGTTCACCAGGCTCCTCTGCTCATAGGATTTCCCAGACAAGAATACTGGAGTGGGTTGCCATTTCCTTCTCCAGGGGATCTTCCCAACCCAAAGACTGAACCCAGGTCTTCTGCATTGCAGCAGATTCTTTACCGACTAAACCAGGGAGCATGGGTGCAAGCACACTTAATATTCAAAATACTACATGAGTTATGTAGAATAAACAAGCTGTTTAATTTCGTGGAGAAAAAAAATTAATGACCCCAGAGTGAGAACTCAGGTTTAAATCTGAGGTTGATTACTGAGCAGCTGTGTGACCTTGGACGTGGTCATTTCATTTTTCAGAATATATTTACTCATCTATAAAATGGGAATGATAATATTTATTTCAGGTTCCTCACAGCACTGTGGTGGAAATTAAACAGAAAGTGTATGTGAAAGCACTTTGAAAACTGCCAGAGGAGCTGCCGTGTAAATGGTATCATTATTACCAATTTCTAGAAATTATTGAACACCATATCCTTAGACCGTATCGGCAAGTAGACGCCTGACAAATGAGAACTCATTACTGCGTCATATCCCATTGTCTCTGGCTGTTTTCATCCTCAGCTGATAGGGTGGGCCTGTGGGCCCTGTTAGCATAAATCCTTGGTAGAGGGCATTTCTCTAAAGGTGGAAAGAATTTCTAGATCCTGTCCCACTGCACCTCTGTGTCCTTTCACATACTCATACTACCAAACATACATCACTCAAAATTCCTAAAGCAAGACAAGAGAAACACAGGAAGTATATAAGCTCCTCTGTTTTAGATTTTCCCACTGTTGTCAAGATCCTTTACAGATCCAAATGGCCACAGCCTCAACTCCTAAAATTCTTGTAGAATAATAACTTTATTTACCGTGTGTTGAGCGCTTACTGTAGTGGGTCACAGGGCAGAGTATCTTTTTTAATCCTCACAACAAGCATATGGAATACTCTTACTGCTCCCAGTTGAAAGATTGGGAAGTTGAGACTTGAAGAGGTTAAGTAACCTTCCTGAGGGTCACATGCTAGCTCCTAAGTGGCAGAGATAGGACTAGACTCTAGTCTGCTTGGCTTCAAAGTACACGGTCTGACTGCTACATTATCAAGTTTCTCCTAACACACAGTTCTGTTGTTACTGTCAGTTTTGTGTAGAACCTACCACTGGGAGAAGTGGTTATTGAGCACTTAGACTTCTTCAGCATCAAACTCGAGACTGTCAAATGATTCATTTTCTCACCTAACAAATATTTCCAACCCACAAATACCTAATGTCTGCTAGGTATTGCACTGGGGAGGGAGTGGTCTGACACTGTGAATGAATCCTATCCCTTAATCCTGAAAGAGATTTGGTGTAAGGATAATAGGTCAATGACAACTTTTTCTCTAAGGTGTGTTGACATGCATTGCATTAGGAAAATCCCTTCAAATTATAATACAAACTCATGAGGATTTTCTTCATCATCTATAAAAAGAGTCATCCTAGGATTTCTTTAATTTCATGTATTCAATCCATGAAACAATAAAAATTTGCTACGTTTTATTGGGAGGCAGTTACTCTGCTAGCCAACCTAAAGACAATATTACATCTATGAATCCTTTGTTTACTCACTGCCATTCCAGAAATAACAGAGAATGCCTGATGTTAACACATGTTCATTCCTAGTTATGTAACTTGACAAGGAAAGAAGGTAGTTGAGATAAAAGTGTATATATCTATAAAGCTTTATATATATGTGTGTGTGTATATATATATATATATCTCCATATATCACTATGACCAAGAATTTGAGACTCTTCCCACTTTAAACTTTCACAAAGATGTTTTGAGCTTATAAACAATCCTCTTAGTTTGTTCTGTGGGGGCTTCCCTGGTTGTCCAGTGATTAAGAATCCACCTTCCTATGCAGGGGACGTGGGTTCGATCCCTAGTCAGGGAAATAAGATCCCATGTGGTGTGGGGTATCTAAGCCTCATGCCACAGCTACTGAGCCCACACACTGCAGCGTGTGTGTAGCAACGAGAGAACCACACGTGCTGCCACAAAGGCTCCCTGTGCTGCAACTAAGACCAACGCAGCCAAATAAATAAATGATTTTTTAAAATTTGCTCTGTGGAAGAAATATTTATGAACAGTACAATAGCTAAAATTAAGCTGCAAAAAAAAAAAAAAAAGAGGTAAGGGAAGAGATGAAAGGCAGCACAGGTAAGCCAGAAGCTAAGTAAACTCTTAAATAACCATCAGGGTTTTTAATGAGTTTTTCATGGTTTCTGAGCACCCAGATCAAATCAAGCTTTCATTTTTCTGAATGATGGTTCCACTTTGTACATTAAGCTTATTTTCAGATTTGTAGGGGCCTTCTCTTGGAGAGATGTAAACTCCCTGAAGGAAATGGCCTGGCTGTATTTCTTTATACCATTATACAGTGAGCAGAACAATTCTGGGCACATAACAGGCACTGAATATGTACTTGCTGATTAATAGATTAAGATTCTTGGAAAGTTAACAGTAATACATGAAGGATTGCAGAGAACAAAAACAGAGATAGTACCTAAAAGCCACCATCTTCCCATCTGCTGGAAGCAGTTAGAATATAGTGGTTAAGAAGCCAAGTTCTGTCATTTTCTATTTATGAATTCTGGGGAAAATTACATAATCTTCTGTGCCTCAGTTTATCTTCACCTGTAAAAATGAAAAAAAAAAAAACCAAAACAAAAAACAGATCGTCTATATTATAAACCTGTTATGAGAATAAAATTTCATTAATAGCATTTATAACACTAGCATATGGTAAATGTATAATAGATGTTAGCTATCATTTGTGATTCTTTTCTCATATTTTTGAGACTGCAAAAGTGATTTAAAATGAGAAAGATGATATAACAGATTGACTTACTTCAAAGATAATAGGAAATATAGTTCCTTACCACCACTAAGTTTAACTTAAATAATGAAATTCACAGTTGACTTCAGGTAAAGAATGGCAGACTGCCCATGTGCATCTACTTTCACTCCCTCCCAAGACCACTAAAATGGCAGAAAACAATCTTATTTATTGGGCTGCATTGGGTCTTAGTTGCCACATGTGGGCTTAGTTGCTCCAAGGCATGTGGGATCTTTGTTCCACCACCAGGGCTTGAACCCGAGCCCTCTGCATTGCAAGGTGGATTCTTAATCACTGGAGCACTAGAGAAGTCCCAGAAAACAATCTTTTAAAGGGATAAACCCATAGGGATTTGTAGAATAAGAGAGGATATAACAGCAATGAAGTTTCTTCAGTCAGACCCTCAATGTATGGAAACTGGGTTTATACCAGTTCTGACATGGATTGCAGAACAGTGCAGAAGGGATAGAGAGTGGTTGGAAAAACACAACAGAGTATCCAAGAGGTGTGAAACAATAACAAAAGATCTAACTTATGTATAATTGGCATCCCAGGAAGAAAAAATAAGGAGAAATAATACTCAAGAATATTCCAAAATGAATAACAGACACCAAACAACTCAAAGAACACCTAGCAGAATTAATACTCCCCTCCCCAAGATACGCCCACACCATATGCATATTACATAGAAACTGCTGAAAACCAGAGACAAAGGAAATTATGAAGGCAGCCAGTGGAAAAAAGACACACAGCATATAGAGGAATGAAAATTAAAGAGTTAGAGTTGACTTCTCCAGAAACTATGCAAGGGATGAGGTTTCTGTAGCTGAACAACAGCAAAAACCTGTCAAGTCAGAATCCTATACCTAGCAAAAATGTCTTTCAAAAAGGAACAGGAAATAAAGACTTTTCTGAACCAAAACCATAAAACAAATATGAGCAAATTCATTGCCAGTAGATCAATGTTTTAAGTAATGTTAAAGCATGCTTTAGACAGAAGCATATAATAGCAGACAGAAATTTGAATCCTTGCAAAGAAATTAAGAGCCCTGGAAATGGAATAACTAAAGGTAAACAAAGTCCAAATTTAATTTTTTGTTGCTTTTAGTTGCTCTGAAAGATAACTACGTAAAGCAAAAAGAGTAATATTGTGTATTTATAGCATATGTAAGAGTATATATGTGGCAAAAACAGAACAAGAGATGAGAGAAGAAATTGGGGATATATTGTTCCTATCATTTCAGTTCAGTTCAGTCACTCAGTCATGTCCGACTCTTTGCGATCCCATGAATCACAGCACGCCAGGCCTCCCTGTCCATCATCAACTCCCGGAGTTCACTCAAAACTCATGTCCATCGAGTCGGTGATGCCATCCAGCCATCTCATCCTCTGTCGTCCCCTTCTCCTCCTGTCCCCAATCCCTCCCAGCATCAGGGTCTTTTCCAGTGAGTCAACTGTTCTCATGAGGTGGCCAAAGTATTGGAGTTTCAGCTTCAGCATCAGTCCTTCCAGTGAACACCCTTAGAGCAGACATGAAATGGGATATAATGTGAAAGTAGACTGATTAGATAAGATGTACATGGTAAACCCTAACGTATTCAATTTTTTAAAAAGAGTTGTACATGATAATTTGATAATGTAAATAGCTGAATCATAGAAAATGCTCAATTAATTAAAAAGGAGGCAAAATGAAAGGAAACAAAAGACAAAATGGAACAAATAGGAAACAGCTGGTTAGATGGTATATTTTAATTCAACCATATTGATAATCATATTAAATGTAAGTTACACTAATTCAAAGATATATTGTTATATTAGATAAAAAGCAAGAGTCAACTATATGCTGGTTACAAGAATACCACTTTAAATATAAAGACATTAATAGATTAAAGAATGAAAAAAGATATTCCATGCAGACACTACTCAAAAGAAAGCTGAAGTAGCTTTATTAATATCAAAACAAGATTGGACAAGAAATATTACCAGTGATAGAGAGGCTTATTACTTAATGAAAAAGGATTCAATTCTCCAAGAAGACAGAAACATTAATGACTTTACGCCTATAATTTCAACAACTTAGAACAAGTGGACAAATCCCTCAAAAAGCACATCTTACCAAAATTAGCACAAGAAGAAATAGAAAAATTCAAAGAGCTTTATATCCATTTTCAAAATTGAATTCATAATTAAAAACCTTTCAACAGAGAAAGCCTCAGGTCCAGATGGCTTTACTCACAAATTCTATCAAAGGTTTAAGGACAAAACTAATACCAGTGTTATATAAACTCTTTGAGAAAATAGAAGGAAATGCTTTTCAAGTAGTTTAATGAGGCCAACATAACCCTGTTATTAAAACCTGACAAAGACATTACAAGAAAAGAAAATTATAGACCAATATCTTACATGAATAAATATACAAAGTCCTCAATAAAATATTAACAAATCAAATTCAGTGTTATATGAAAAGAACAAATGTTATTAATAAATGGAGCTTATGCCGGGATTAAAGGTTGGTTTTACATTATGAAATCAATAGTTGTAATTCATCACATTAACAGAATCAAAGAGAAGAAAAATCTCAATTGATGCAAAAACATTTTTGACAAAATGGCATACTCATTCATGAAAAGAAACTCAGAACTCTAGGAAAAGAAAGGAATTTCATCAACTTGATAATGGGCATATATGAAGAAACAACAGTTAATGTCATAGTTAGTGGTGAAATAGTGAATGCTTCTTAGTTCAGGAACAAGATACCCAATGTCTCCACATCTATTCAACAATATACTGGAATCCCTATCTAGCACAACAATGTAAGAAAAAAATAAAAGCATAAAAATTAAAAAGAAGCAAAAGTCTTTTCTTTTGCAGTTGACATGATTGTATATAGAAAACACTCTAAGGAATCTACCCCCCCCCAAAACAACTAGAACTGAAAAGTGAATTTAGTCACAAGAATTAAGGTCAATATACAAAATTTATATTTCAAAAGTTACCAGCAAATTATTAGAAAATGAAATTAAAAAGCAATTCATTTACATTTGTAGGAAAGGCATAAAATACCCAAAGTTAAGAAAATATAGATAAGACTTATATTCTTAAAACTGCTACATACTGTAGAAAGTTATTAAATAAAAACTTAAATCATATAACATGTTTAAGGATGGGAAAAATCAATACTGCTAAAGTTTCAGTTCATCCCTAATTGATCTATAAATTCAGTGCAGTCCCAATCAAAATTCCATGAGGCTTGTAGTAGAAATTAACAAGTTGATTATATATGTACATGAAAATGCAAAAGCTAAAAAAATAGTAAAAATAACCTGAGAAAGAAAAACAAATTTTGAAAACTTGTACTTTTAAATTGTGCTGAAAACTACAATAATTAAGATGCTGTTACTTACATAAGGAAGATAAAAAAGTCAGTGAAGCCGAATAAAGTCCTAAAATACACACACACACACCCATGTGGAAAGGAAAGTTTTCACAACAAATGATGCTAGATCAATTGTATACTCATATTTAAAACAAAAAGAACCTCGACCTCTACATCACGCCATACACAAAAATTATATTTAGATAGGAAAGGAATCCTTCATGTAAAATCTGAAACTAGAAAGCTTCAATGTTTTCTAAAAGAAAACATAGAAGAGTATTTGCATGATCTCATGGTTGGCAAAGAGCTCTTTGATAAGATACAAAAAGCACAAATCATAAAAAAAATCATAAGATGGACATAACCAAAATTTAAAATTTCTCATCAAGTAATACCATTGAGAATATGAAAAGATAAAATACAGACCGGGAGAGAGATTTGCAAAGTCAATTTCTGACAAAGAGCTTGTTGTCTCGAATGTATAAAACTTCCATAAATCAATAATAAAAACATCCCCAAAGTGGAAACAAATGAGCATCAATAGATAAAATTGATAAACAAACAGTAGTATTTTTATACAATGGAACACTACTTGCTAGTTAAAAAGAATTTCTGCATGAATCTCAAACATGTCATTTTGAGCAAAAGAAGTCAGGACCAAAAGAGCGCAAGATATATAATGCCTTACAGAAAGTTCCAGAGCAGGTAGATCTAATCTACAGTGAAAGAAATAAGAAAGGCGATTGCTTTACAGAAGGGGACTGATTGCAAGGATCTAGAAGGGAACTTTTGGAGGTACTGAAAATGTTCTGCAGTTTGATGTACAGTTATGTCAGTATATTCTTTCATTAAAATATATATGGTGATGGACAGGGAGGCCTGGCGGCTGCAGACCATGGGATCGCAAAGAGTTGAACACAAATGAGTGACTGAACTGAACTGAAAATGTATTGAATGGTACATTGAAAATCTGTGCATTCATTGTATATGAATTATACCTTGATTTTAAAAAAGTAATTAAAGAAAATCCACCTTCATGGTAAAGGCTTAAGCAAGTCACAGCAATGATTTCATTTATGTAACATCCCAACACTGGTAAAGCAAAACAACCTATTTCTCCCTGTGACATTATTTTCTAAATAATCTGCTCTAAGAATTGAAAGTGGTTGCCTCTGGTGGGCAGGGTGGGAGGCTGGGGAGAAGGCTTAAGTTTTTAATTTTTGAATCACAAAACCTGGAACTACTTGACCCTTCAAAAATCTGTGCATATATAACTTCAGTAAAAATAGAGAACAACAACAATAACAAAAAAATCATACCCATTTGCAAGTTGGTGATATTAGCTTCCATCGAGAGACTTACTGACATTGGTTTTCAAGAGGAAATTATTTCTGATGGGTGAATCTGGCAGAACTGAAGGCTGTTAAGACCAGGAGACTTGAGTCAGTCCATTTGCTGTTGGTGTTCATGTGGGCCACCTTGTTACCAGTCAAGCAGAAAAGACAGCAGGGAACTCAACACATCCAGGGTGACAATACACTGGAAACCGGGGCATTAAATTAGAGGAAGTGAGCAGAACTGTGACAGAAGCCCGGTCTGTACTCCCTAATTACAGAGCCTCACTTTCACCAAACTGACACCAATGTGAAGTCAAATTAAATATCGTCTAATTAACCAGCATACACAAGAATTCAAGCCCAGGGACTAGGTAGGATTCAGCCCAATAAAGGAAACATGAGTACTTGTAAATTCTCAGTCACTTCCCCCACCCCACCCCCATCTGCCATCTCCACCAACTGCTACAAGATTTGTCCATTTTGTTTTCACGCATCTCCACTTTTCAGGGCTCTGCTTGTAATATTTACAGAAAAAGGCAATGCTGGTAAACAGTTTCACACAATGAGGTGTGAGAGTTGATAGGGTCCTATTCAAGCTCTGAACTCTCCTGATGAGCTGCCAAAAGTTGTTATGAATGGCCCGGCTGACAGGGTGATGACTGATAAAGGAAAAAACAAACAGCTCTGGTAATTCATGAAAACACACAGCGCTGAGACAACTCAAAGTGGCGAGTGACAGTTAAGATAATGGAATTTTGGAAGCTTTTCTTAAAGGGATCCTCAGTATACAATTATTCTGTTAATAGATTCTTCCTTAATGTAGCTGGATCTTCAACTTTTTTTCTGCTGAAAGATATTTATTATGATCGCTGGCAGAGAGGTGCTGGCCTGGGCTTTTATACTATGATCAGTTTTTCATATAATTTCCTCTTTAAAGAACAGGATGAATTTTAGCTGAAGCCTGTGCCTGCCATTTAAAGAAATAAAATATCCTATTTCCATTTCTATTACAAGAAACATTTCAAAGCATTCTTCCCTCATTTCTTTCATTTATAAACCATTTGCCACAAACCTTTGATTAGAAAATAAATATTGGTTTACACACTCAACTGCTAATATTTTAAAAGACAACAATTTAAATGTGGTTGAAGTCAATTTCCAATTCACATAGCCTATTTGGGGTTCATTTCCTTAAATCAGGCGTGACCAAGCAAGAAAGTATCAATTTGTCACTGTTTTGCCTTTGTACCCAATGTTTTTTCATGAAGTGCATTGTGGTTTCTGTAACAATGGCCTATTTCTCAATTAATGTTTTAGAAAGCACGAATATAAAGATATATATAAAGCATGTGTATATGTACATAGAGTACTACAATGAGTAAGGGGAATGTGTTCACAAAAGTATTTTAGAGCCTAGCTACTGAGAGGTTTGGGAAAAAGCAACTTGTTAAAAATGCAGAATCTCAGTCCTGCCCAAACCACTGTCCCCCTGCCCCCACAGAACCACATAATTTGCATTTAAACAAGATCCCCAAGTGATCCATATGCACATAAAGTTTTGAGGATCTCTAATTTAGATGATTGAGTTTTTTACCTTAATAGTTGAGCTTCCCTGATAGCTCAGTTGGTAAAGAATCTGTCTGCAATACAGGAGACCTTGGTTTGATTCCTGGGTTGAGAAGATCCCCTGGAGATGAGAAAGGCTACTCACTCCAGTATCCTGGCGTAGAGAGTTCCATGGACTGTATAGTCTGTGGAGTCACAAAGAGTCGGATGCCACTTTCACTTTTAACCTTAATAGTTTAAGTTTTAGAGAGGAGAAAGCTTATAGGTAAGAGGATCCATATTTTCCAAAAAGTTTAAAACTATATCATAAATTCTATAAAGCTGCCTCCAAGTCATTTAATATCTTCATTTAAAGTTGTTACTTTCTTTTCCTCCCCATGAAGAAGTCTTAGAGCATCCTTGAACTCATCAAACCTTCTAAGGGAGATTCATTGTTTTCATGAATCATGTTCCTTTACCCCAAACATTGATAGAGTTGTCCAGCACATTCCTGAAGGGTAGGCATGGTGGAAGGGTAAAGCCTGGATATTAAAAATCCAGAACCTATTGTTAGATTTAAAAAATTGAATCACTGTAGTGAACCATGTTACTTTTATAACTAATAAGAGCATTTTTAAAACATTTGAAAAATCATATTTTGATTGTAATGTTGACTGTTCTGCTAATACAAGACAGAGTTGAGTATTTTACAGGAGAGATGACAGAATCCTTGGAAACGCCTAGACAATAGAAGTGGCTTTCACTCACCTACTAAAGTCTACAAAAATCCACCACTGGACTCATAGTCCTTTCATTTTGTAGTTGATGGTATTTGTGGCATCTTCTTTAGACTTGGAGGGATCTTGGGATGTAGTCGAACTCAACAAATTTCCTGGGTGTTGAGAAATTTAAAAACTTGTAAACACTTAGGATGGTCTGAAATACTGTAAACAAGGACAAAAGACAAAGGGTAAACTGAAGGAAATATTTGCCTTAAAGGCTCATTTCCTCAATTGAAGAGGGGTCCATATAATTCAGGTGGAGAAAGATATACCAGTGGAAAAGTGGACAAAGGATATGAATAGGCAATTCACACTCAGAAGTAAAAAATACAAACAGGGAACAAATGCATGAAACGGTGCTCAATGATATTGATAGTTAAAGACAAATCAAAGTAACTATGGGAGAATGGATCTTACCTATCGTGTCGGCAAAGATAAAAATACTTGATAACATCAAAGAGGTGCATTCATCCACTGTAGATGAGAATGTATTGGTCTGACTGTTTATAAGGGCACTTTGGTAGTATCAATCCAAATTCTGAATATATATAAGTTCTAATCCAGCGACTCTACTGCTAGGAATTTAACCTAGAAGAATACTTATAAAAGTACCTTAGACTAGATGGATGAGGCCCTGCAAAGTTCAGCATGACTTGCAGTATTGGATGTCTAGTAGCATCTACAAGGAGCATCACTCCAGACAGCTGGCATCCATGACAGTGCAACCCAACAAAAGAAGACTACAGGAGCCACATAGGCTCCTGTGGACCAGCTGGGTTCTGGGGGGACTCTTTCTGCAATATTCCATTTGCCTAGTCTAGGCCTCTGCATGATGGAGTGACTGCATAGCCATTTTGCAATGGGATTACTTGAAAGTTAGCTTTTAGGGAGTATTGATCATCTCTTATGGTCTTTCTGAACTCCCCAGAAAATTGGTACTGCAACAGCTGAGCATGTCACCTGACTCCAAGGAAACCACCCAGGTATGTCCAATGTGTGTTAAAAGCAGGTACTATTGATCTGATTCTCAGAGTTTTGTCACATTGATGACACACAGCCAATGAGTTAAATCCCTTTTGACACATTATACCAGCCTCTGACATATTACTGATGTAAAATGACATAATGTGTTGAAAATGATAATATTTAAAACTATGATAATATATAGATCCAAATAACCAGCAGGTAATATCACTTTCAAATGTTAAAATGGAATGAGAGTAATCATTTGGTCCCATTCTGAAAATGCATCTTTCTCAGAATGACGATAGTCATATATAATAATAGCTACTAACGTCTACGTAATACCCGCTATGTACAGACATATGTTATATGGATTATCTCACATCCTCTTCACAACAGCCATCTCAGGTAGGTTTGATTAATCACCCCATTTTGTAGACTAGAAAACCAAAGGCCAGAGAGGTGAAGTACCCTGCCAGAGGTCACACCGCTGCTAAGCGGCAGAAACTCCTTCAGCAACATGGCTGCATACACCTTCTTTTAAAGGAATCCAGAAATTTCAATGGGCCTTTTCAAACTCACTTCAAAACCTAGATGATATCTCTGATACACACACTGAAAAAGAAATACAGAGCATGTAAGTGGTATGCTTGGCTTGCTACATGGAAGTCATCAGGCCAGTGACTCAGCTTTTATGAACCACTGTTTCTTTATCTCTACAATGGAGATAATGATAGTACCTTTATTATAAAAACTGTGTTGAGAATTCAACACCCGTTAGAGGCTGAATGTGTCTCCCTCTCCCTCATCCCAAATTTATATATTGAAGCCCTAATCTCTAGGAATGGTTTGGAGATAGAGCCTTTAAAGAAGTGATTAAGTTATAAAATGAGGCCACTTGGGTGGCCCCCTAGTTAATCCAATCTAACTAACTTAACTAACTAGGGTCCTTATAAGGATAGGAGATGAGGACACAGAGGCACACGGACACTTACACGCAGAGGACAGCCACGTGAAGACACAGCAAGAAGGCAGCCGTCTGCACGCCCAGGAGAGAGGCCTCAGGAGAAACAGACTCGCCAACACCTTAATCTTGGACTCCCAGCCTCCAGAAGTATGAAAAAATAAATTCCTATTCTTGAAGCTACTTAATGTGGCATTTGTTATAGCAGCCCTGAAAAATATTTCAAATATATTTAGAATAACTACCATAATATCCAGCAAATAGTAAGTGCTCAGTAAATGGTTTTAGTATTAGTTCAATTGTGAATACACACACACACACACACACACACTCTCACACACACACTCACAGCCTTTGTTTTGACTTAAGGGGCATGTATCCTAAGGTACATAATCTGAAAAATGCCTCTTGTCCGAACAATAGACTTTTCATGAGACGTTTAATTAAAAGACTAAGGATTTCCCTGGTGGTCCAGTGGTTAAGAATCTGCCTGCCAATGCAGGGGACACAGTTTCGATCCTTGGTCCCAGAAGATTCCACATGCCATGGGGCAACTAAGCCTGCGTGTGGCAAATACTGAAGCCTGTGTGCCCTAGAGCCGATGCTTCACAATAAGAGAAGCCACTGCAATGAGAAGCCCACGCACTGCAACTAGAGAGTAGACCCCACTCATCACAGCTAGAGAAGGCCTATGCATAGCAATGAAGACCCAGCACAGACAAAAATAAATAAAATTATAAAAAGAGAAATCATTTAAAAAATTAAAAGACTGAATATAGTTCACTTTTCAAACTAATAAAGTCTAGCTAACACTGATTAAAAGTCAGTTACTATTACATGGCATCAGTTACTATTATATGGCATCCTATTATGATATTAAAACTGCATGTGACTGGAAAGTTCCTTGATGCCTGGTAGCTACAGGCAGCACGTGTAGTTAAGTCTAGGCTGGAAACTGATGCGATTTGGAGAGTAATACACAAAAGTCATGACAGAGAGAGAGTTAGAACATCCAAGCATAAACCAGTGTAGACTCCCAGAAAATGTACAACTCTGACATTTCCTTGAATGAAGCTACCTAGATCAGAGCTGGTCTATAAATGTCTCCTGAAGCACCAATTCCAATCAGTTGCCTTAAACTTGTGTTAAGGAAGGTTCTAATGACATATCTGGACTCAGCGAAGAGGGCCAGGTGGATTAGGAATGGCTGTTTGAACAAGGGGAGAAACAGTTACTATTCTGGATCTGGAAATTAGTTGATGGATCCTTCTGACTCTAAGTTTAGGGCCTATCAGATTCAGGCTATTATGCATATTGAATGCATATCCATTCTGTAAGTCAGCAGCTCTGAATTCACTAAAAAGCAAATGTTTTCTTTTATACATCTATTTCTTGAGACATTTAAGCTTTGTTACTTAAGAACATAAGGAGAACACTGCCTCGGGCCAACAAAGACCATCAACCTAATCACTGTGCAGGTTTCTCAAGCCGACAAATCCATGGGATCAGAAGAGGAAGAGAGGTTTTCCTCCAGAAGTCACCATGGTAGCCTTTTAGGCTGCCACCAACAAATAGGCATGGGGTTCACACGTTTGCATCAATCTCTAGCTAGTTACTGTTTAAGTTAACTCCTGATGATTGCATGTTATCTTGGAGGAGGCCAGGTTGTGGGATGTG